ATGAAGATTTCTGTCTTCTGGGTTGTTGCGCTGTGTAATCTGGTCGATGTTTACCAACGTTTCAGAGGTAATCAGGGCGATGAATATTCATCAGAAATCTTCATACTCGCCGCTGTGAAAACCTCAAATCTTACGTGAAGAATTGTGTTTTCTTCGCGGTACGGACTGAATTATTAAATATTATATAGACGAGTTTCCGCTTCAAAGGAAATAAAAAACTAAATAACCACAATGCCTTCACTCTTACTGTATCCTTACCAGAAGGACAAGCGATCATTACCTGGGGGCCTTCTAACTATAAGATTCTCTTTCTCTCACTCAAAATAATTTTGCTTCAGAAGGGTTGGTGGACATTGCTGTGTAACACGTAATTTCCTTCTTAACGCTTCGTCTGAAATGTAGATGAGCGAACTGCAGCCACATGTTTCTGTAATTCTTTCCCAGAACAAGACCGAATCCGCTTAAAGTTGTGGAGAGAATTCGATGTCTTGCAGGCTACCGTCTACTCTCGGGGAGAAATGAACTGGATTTACGCAGCTGCAGGTCGACAGAGCATTAGACCGATAGCGTTAAGCCTCCTATAAAGGGGCAGAGACCACCACTGCCGCGTAGGAGGTACGCAACATTTGTTGGCAAGAACTTCTTGTTCGTAAATACAACCGAAGGGGATAAGAACAATTCTTCTCTTTACATCTCAGTACATTCTTTGCACTGTTACATAAAAACACTTTTTTTTTGCAGGGTTCTTTCCAGATAAATATACGAGCATGATCCATCTCCGAAACTCAGTCATTTCGAACTATAGTTGAGTTTTATTTTTGTGATACTGAGCATACTAATCTATTAACAATCACGCGTTATGCTAAATACTGCAGTAAAATTGGGAACACGAGAACATTTTTCTGCAACATAATTACGACTAACATAATTTTGATAGGGTTGTGGCTGTCGTATTTTGTGGAAACTGGGTGTAAAATAATCTTCTTTCTATTTATTAGTATCACATGAACAAACTCTATTATACATATAATAAATGTTCCAGAATGTGAAGTTCAATATTTTTGCACGTAATGCTGGTAAACCTGTCTCCTCTGAGAACCCTGCAATAGTAATAATGACACTGAACGTCGGAGGGTAAAAATAAAAGCAATTAGACACGTAAAATCCCTGTTCTAGTATTCAGGGCAGAGACTGAAATTCTCCATTCTCAAGCTACGCTGAAAAGTTCTAATGGCATCAACGGTCATATATATTTAAACAAGGGTCATCGAGTGTGATGTTACGTGAGGCGATCGACTAGTCACACACTGCAGGTAACATTCTAGCCTCTTTTTTTTTAAATAGAAAAGTTTTCCGTCAAGAATGACAGAAAAATCGATTGTACTCGAAAACAAACTTTTATTGAAACGTCTAGCAAAGCGACGCGTGATAATTAAAATCACTGCTTAATTAAAGGGTATAGTACGAATTGTTCCTGGTGTAAAGGTTCCCAGACAGTGCCCACTCGTCCTTCGGATAAAATTATGTTGAAGAGAAGGTAAGTGGGGACGGTAGAGTGATGAGTAGCGGGTTGCTTAATGTTACGAACAAAGGCAAGAATTTGAACAGGATTCTACTGCATTTGATCCGAGTTCTCATATTAGTCTTTGGATGAATATTAATCTTATTGATTTCAAATTAAGGAAAATGCGATGGGCGGAGAATGTGGCATGCACGGTAAAACACCAAAGATAGGTATTTATTATTATTATTTATTTAGTGTTCTGTCTGAGGACAGGTCCATATGAAGAGGATCCTTCCATCCTTTTCTCGGACTGGGACCTGTTCATATACGTTCTTTGCAGATGATCCAGAAGTGGTTTGCCATTGCCTTCTTCTGTGTGTGAATGGAGTAATTGTTGGGATGCCACGGAGGAAAACTCCGTGTTGCCTAGACCACGGCCTTGCCCAACACAAGTTATAAATTCGGCCACCGCCGGGAATCGAACCCGAGACCCCAGGATTACAAGGCCAGCGTTCTAACCGCTAGACCACCTCATCTTATTATTATTCAGTGTTCTGTCTTACGACAGGTCCATTGCTCTGCCCAAAAAGAGCTCTCCAGTCTTCCCTATTCTCAGCTTCTCGTTTTAATTCCTTGAACTTTATCTTCTTTCCTTAATTATGATTATTAAATCTAGAATCATATAAAAATTGCCAATTTTACAGCTGTCATATCATCTGGCCGATACATATAATTACTATTACGCGCTTGGTTCAGATGTAACTTGTTTTACGATAAAACAGGTAGCCGTCGTCCCAGCATTCTGCCAGTTCCTGACATGTTTACAAGTTCAACCCTGAACATCGCTGCCGAGCAGCAGGACGGAGACGACAGTGAAGACGAAATGGACGATGACGTGCCGTGGCGATCTCCCAGCGAGAAGATTGCGTAAGTTGATTGAACTTACTCATTTGATCGAATTGTAGTCTTGAGTAGCTGGTAGTGACTTGAGCATGTTTTGGTTTTTTTGCAGTCTACATTTCCACTGAATTCTGAAGAATTTTGTCGAGGAAAACTGAAGGATTAAAAATAAAACACCTTGTGTCAATTTTATAAAAGGACGCTCACGTGTATATTAAAACGTGTCCTTCAGATTTCCTTTAAATATTGCAATTATATTCAGTTTAATGTTGGTCATCTGTTCCTCGTACAAGACGTATTGATGTTCTGCTTAAAATGTGTTGTTACTCACGTATAAGAAGGAAAGGGTAGATGATATCGTTTCCCCTACCTCGCTTCGATTTCTTTTGAATACGATAATGAAACTTTGGGTTCCAAATAATAATAATAATAATAACAGTCAGTATAGTGACTAGCTACGTGCTGGACGGCCGGGGTTCGATCCCCAACGGGGGCAGAGGATTTTTCCTCTAGCCTCTGCGTCTAGACCGGCTCTGGGGCCCACC